CTAGTCAGCAGTAATTCACATGTTTTGTCCAATTGCAAGTCTCGAATAAATGATGCTGGTGTGTCTGTTTTTGATCTTTAAGCAAGCAATTGAAGGAAATGCAGGTTAGGTTGATGATGTCAGTTGAAAAAGAAATAATCGCTGTACCATGCTGTAGTTGAGGAGAATACGTTCAGACGTTTCCTGTGCCAGGATATGAGTCGAGTAGATGATTGGCTGAGATAGAAGAGGTAGTTGAGGACATGACGTTCAGGTTATTGCTAGACCGGGGTATGAGTAGACCGGTGGTATAAGCAGACGGATTGCAGCTGAGTATAAAAGTAGACGAAGCTAATTTACCAGTGGCAGTTGTGAGAACAGTCCCAGGCTAGTTGGATTGGTTGCTGTTGAAATGTGTAACAGGACTAGCAGACTAGCAGACTAGCAGAGTGATAGATGTTTGAGCCTGTTGAAGTTATTTTGTAGTTGAAGAGAAGAAGTAGTTTGGGCTAGATGTGGAGTCTGTAGCTGGACGGTGGATGGGACTGTGGCAGTTGTATCAGGTCCGCAGATATTGGCCGTTGGAACATGCATGTTGTTCTTTGTTGATTGTTCTCTTGATGATACTGGTTGAAAAGAGGTCGAGCAGAGAGCCGTGGGCCGTTGTGGTTGAGGAGAGTACGTTCAGACGTTTCCTGTGCCAGGGTATGAGGTGAGTAGATGGCTGGCTGTGATAGACGAGATGGACCAGAAGATCAGAATGAGTTCCGTTAGGATCAGAATGAGTTCTGTTAGGATCAGAATGAGTTCTGTTAGGATCAAAATGAGTTCTGTTAGGATCAAAATGAGTTCTGTTAGGATCAAAATGAGTTCTGTCAAAAGTGTTATCTGCGATATTCCGGACGAGCCGATGGCCAGGATCTAGGATAAGAATTTTCTTTTCAGCATGATGGGGTTTGCATGAGGACGAGATTGAATTCCCCGAGTGTGTTCGAGAATATGCAGCCTGTCTGATGTACAGCCTGTTCTATGTATTTTGTCAATGAACCAATGATGCCGGGAATCTGATTCTACATTGAGAGAAGTTTGTAGTCTTTCAGATGGATAGTGGAAATGGATGAAGTCGTTGCGTTAGGCTTGACTATCTAGAAATATAAGTGTTTATTCCAGTATAAGATATGTTTGAAGTACCAGGGTATGAGGTGAGTAGATGGCTGGCTGTGATAGACGAGATGGACCAGAAGATCAGAATGAGTTCTGTTAGGATCAGAATGAGTTCTGTCAAAAGTGTTATCTGCGATATTCCGGACGAGCCGATGGCCAGGATCTAGGATAAGAATTTTCTTTTCAGCATGATGGGGTTTGCATGAGGACGAGATTGAATTCCCCGAGTGTGTTCGAGAATATGCAGCCTGTCTGATGTACAGCCTGTTCTATGTATTTTGTCAATGAGCCAACGATGCCGGGAATCTGATTCTACATTGAGAGAAGTTTGTAGTCTTTCAGATGGATAGTGGAAATGGATGAAGTCGTTGCGTTAGGCTTGACTATCTAGAAATATAAGTGTTTATTCCAGTATAAGATATGTTTGAAGTACTGCCAGTTCTTGTTTGCTGTATCTTTCCGTGTAATATCAATCAAAGGAAAGGTTTGGTCAAGCTGTTGGGTGTGTTTTAATTGAGAAGAGGAAGTTCAGACAGTCCCTGTATTTGCAGGAGGTATAGTTTGAATGAATGGAGCTAAGTTCTAATGGATGAGGAAGGTTCTGTTGTTGGCAATTGTGGACAATTGTGGACAATTGTGGCCGGATGCTAGATACCTGGTCACGCCAAGTAGTGGTTGTGGGTGATTACATGGTTATTCATGTGTTGAATGAATGCTCTAGTCGGATGAGAAGA